CGCAGATTGGTTGCGAGACTGTCAGGTCGATCTACTCGCACGCGATCGACGGAGATTTGGGTTCCGTGACGTAGATCCGCTGACAGGTGCGTTGATTGATTCTCGTGCCGGCGGGCGGTCGAAGAAAGGCGTGAAGCGTGCAGCGCCGAAAGCCCTGGATGGTGGGAACTATTTCCGCAACCTATACTCGATAATGCTCGAGCGGGGTGTTGAACCAGGAGAGTTCTCGGCGTGGCTTTCGGGCGAAAAATGTATACCGGCCGTTACTGTCCGCCATCGTGAGAAGTGGCTCAAGACCACCAAGCCATCAGTCGTCGTATGGTCACACAGGGACAACGGGGCCGAGGTTCTTGGTCCCAAGGACCAGCTGACGAGCCTCCGTCCCCGAGCGCTACATGTCGGGGTTCGGGAGGGCCACGTGTACCGCTTGATGCTCGATGGCTCTTGGAAACATCGCTTCAGCGGCGCTCGCGAAGGGGCGGTCGATCATCTCTGGATGTGGCGGTTCAGCACTCCGTGTGCACAAGGCGCGTCTTTAGCCGTACTGCCGAGGGGGCCGAGGAGGAGAAGGGAGAGGAAAAATCGGATGGTGACACCAGAACCTTTGTTCGTTGCGGGGACATGACGGAGTCTATCCTCACCGTGAACCAGTCGGCGGAGGACCAGCAGACCACTCCGAAGCGCAGGACAGGTGTCGACGACAAGGAGGGCAGCAAGAAGACCTGGTACGCACCTCCCGGTACGGCTCTGGACGAGCTCATGCTTCATCTCCACCTCGGTGGCGTGGCTTGCACGGGTAGACTGACCAGCTACAGCCACTGCGATTCGTTGTCGTTGCCGGCGCACGGCATCATTTTTCGAACCTGGTGCGGCGTGAGCATGGGCGGACAGGATCCAGATTTGCTCGAATGCGACGAAGCTACTCGTCTAATCGAGCTGCACGGCACGCTCGGGCGCAAGCTCATACGCGGTGTGATGAATTTTCGGGTATCGAGTGAGTACAGCCTGTCTCTCCTCGCACTACTCGAGGTATGTTGAAGGGACTTATCGTCGGGGCAGAAGACGCATCGGGCCAACCTACGGACCGGGGGACTGGCAGTGCGACATCGACGGGGCGCACACGGCGGCAATGCTGAGGATGGAGAATCTGCCGGCGTTCGCCCACATGGACGAGGTGCAGGCATTCGACGGCCACGACATTGACGATTGGACGTTGTACGTAGTCCGCCTGGACGCTGGTGGCGACCCCGACGTGTGCCTGAATTCTGATGTAACGCCAGTCTTTGGTCGGAACTACAAGAGATATTTGGCGCTCGCTCACACCCCCACCCCACACCGCGTAAACCACTTCGTACGACATGCGAGGACGTTCAATAGTGCCACATACCTGGCCTCGTGCAGGATCTGCCGGCCCGAGATCTAGGGGAGCCCCGCCTCCAAGACGTGGACGCTGCTCGCAGGTTCAAGAAGGGCTTGTTGGTTCGCACGAGAGGTTTGCTGCAGCAGAGGCACGCCGACAGATTCAAACCCGTCATGGTCACTACCAGCGAGGAGGCCATGGCCGTGGGGGTAAAGGTCGTGCCCATCCTTGGCGAAGTTAATCGCATCAAGTCGGAGCTGCGGAAGAATGGAACTGATGGGGAGCGTGGCATCGAGAAACTCGATAGCGGAGACGCCTACCTTTGTTTCGAGGCTAGCCGGGTTTGCTACCGGGACGGGTTCTGGGCTCTTTGGACGCTCATCCTCAACGAAACGCGCCTACGTGTGTTGGAGGTGCGGAACATGCTTGAGGCGTGTGGGGGTGTCTGCCTTCAGCTACCAGTGCGACGCTGTGTTCTTCAGGGGACCGACAGAGGTCCAGGAGGAAGCAGGCCCTCGACGATCTACCCCTCGCCATGAGATCCATTCCCTGCCCGCGGGAGAGAGAGCTGCGTGTCGTCCCACTTTGGGGCGGCATCGGGGAGAGCTTCGGTACCATGGGAGCCGCGCATGCAGCTTGGCGATCTGTCGGCAACGACAAAAAAGGAAGATGTGGCCGGACATCTGCGCGGCAGAGTCACTAGCAATTCTTGAGCAACTACTGCGCAAGCTGATGTCGAAGGAGGAAAGGGTCGTTTGTGCGGTCACGGGAGGACACGGTGAAGCCGGGAAAAGCTACTGTGCGCTCCGTGCAGCGAAAAAAAGTGTTCAAAACCGGTCTTGTGCTGACACCCACGAACAGCCTTCGCATGTCGTACACTGACCTGCCCCCCGGGTGGAGCGTGAAGACTGCCGACCATCACCTTGGGTTTTACATCGGCGACGACACGCGCATCAGGAAGACCGCGGGCTCGATACGTATCCCGAGGGTGGGCGTTGTCATAGTCGAGGAAGCCGCGTACATGTCTCTCCATGCGCTCAGCACGATCCTCGCCGCGGCTCACAGCAACGGTGTCCATGTCATCGGAACGTACGACACACACCAGCCGCAGCCCGTTCGTGACAGCATTGGTAAGTCTGCGAGCGTGGACAACGTCGACAGGCGACTCGTTCTTGAGCGAGCATTTCCCACCTACTTCCACTTGTTCGCACGCAAGCGGGACAAGACGATCGATGAGCAGGTCGATAAATGGACGATGGTCTGTTGTACATCTTGGATGCGGGAGACGACAGTACCGAATCGCAGACCCGAGCCCTGGAGAGGTTTGGCGGGATCGAACCTACAAGGAATGGCCCACACCTTTCAGACTTCCGTCTTGCTTTTACCAGAGATTGTGCGAGGTTCGATGCTTTCCAGTGTTTGACGAGATGCAACGAGGCTGGAGGGTGGGACGCTCTAGGACAAAGCGCACTGGTGGGTGCCCAGTATCGAGCCCTTGGGAAGACAGGGAAGGCGCACAAGAACCATGCCTAGCACATCGTTCGTTCGTCGGCCGACACCGTCGTCGTGCAAAGTGCCTTCGATGACGGCGCCACCCTCGAAGAAACCACGCTGAGTCGCGCCGCAGCACAGAGGTTATGTTTGACCCCCCGGGTTCGTGTACGGTGCACGCGGTTCAAGGTTGTACAGTGGAAGGAAAATTGGTGATCCACCAGGCTCGATATTGGTTTTCAGACCTTTACTGACTATACACAGCCAGCAGGCGAGCGACGGGGCCTCCAAACGTCCTAGTCCCCGATGACGTCCATCGGAGCGTCAGGGACATATCCAAACAGGCCGGGAGGTCGTGGGGCAACGGGAAGGTGTGGAGTTATCTGCGCGCCGATGTGACTGCCGGGCGGGTGGACCACGGAGAAGGCAATCGACACAAGGACGCCCTCATCCAAGCGATCGTGAACTCCTACGGTGGAAGATGCGTCTCATGTTCGATCTCGTCTGGGCCGTGTACAGCGAACGGCAGCCGACGCTTGATCGTCTCGACTGCGCCCTACCTCACACGCCAGGAAACGTGGATGTGAAGTGCCTGAAGTGTAACCGTGCCCGTGGTAGCTTGGGAAAGGGGCTTGCCAAAACCATACAAAGGTTGAAACCGTGTAGAGACGCAGAAAGAAGAAGTAAGCAGCCTTTCCGACGAAAATAGTCGTGGTTTCATTCGGTTTGCATGGAATGACAAGTGAAGTGGTTTTTTCCAAGACCAAGTCATCGCAGAGTGCGCGAAGTGGCTCGAAAACAATGAGAATCCTGACGAAGTTATTGAAGCCCTGAGAAAATTACTCCCCAGGTCGCTCCACAAGAACGTGGGTAAGGCCAGGCTGCAGTGGATGCAGCAAGACGGTGCAAGCCACAATGCCGGTCCCGTCGGGAACGAGCTCCGGTCGGTACTAAGGCTCATCAAGATGGGAGGCATCAATGGCGAAGAAGACGAAGGGGAAGGGGGGAAGAAAACAACTCAAGCAGCTCAAGTCTGCCGAGGAGCGGGTGTTGATGTTTACCAAGCTAAGAGCTTGCCGGTTTGGGGGTTGTCCCCAAACACTGTAGTTCAAAGACTTCACCTAGCTAGCTAGAAGTGAGTGTCCCCCAGCTATTTAGCTATTACGCAATCAATCTACTTCTTCCCGTGCCGGAGGCGCCGGATGTACGTATTTCAAGCTTATCAAACTATACCAGCACACGCCATCAGCACACGCAATGGAGAGGGAGAAAGCCAAGAAAGCCTGTTCAAAAACGTACCACGAAAAAAAACTTTTCTCGCACCCCTCCCGGGGGGGTGGGTGGGTGTGCGGGAATATTTTGTTTGTGCGCCCTTGACCCAGTACATAGATCTACACCGTTGTTCCGGACTCACCCCAAAACATATTTCGAATAAAGTTCGGCACGTGCGAGCGCTGCACTGGTTGACTCAACGCGCTACATACTTGATGGCCTCAGGATGCCCTCGATGTGGTCAACCCTGGTGACGTCATTGAAACTCGGAGGAGATTACTGGGAAGATCTCAAGACACGGGTGGGTGGACGGCGGTGTGGCCTCGCGTGGGTGTTCAGGGCTGTCCGCATCTGTTGAAAACGCCACATGTACAGTAACAGTCGCTACAGCAGTAGTAGTTCCAGTCAGAAGAAGGAAAGGTCGCTCTGCTTCACATACAAACTGCGTGCCAGTGAGGTGTTTTGGAAGGTTCTCTCAGCCACTGCGAGGATGATGGGATGAAGAGGCAACATAAGGGTCTCAGCTAAGCCTATTATCTATCATTTGCAAATCAGAAAAAGTCCATAATGTATTCCCAAACAAGACTACACGCGGATCGGTCGGTCGGCCGAGAGGATCGATCCCTCTCCCCAAGTCTTTGTAGTTCGCAGTCAGCCAGGATGATGACAAAAGGTTTTCATCCGAAGACACGAGTTTCCCTAGATTTCCCAAGGTACCGTCCTTGATTCCACCTTGGCCGACGCCACCCGTCGACCAAGGATCTTGGGTCTTTTGAAATTCCGCCGCAGACCTGTTGACCAATCTACAAATGCGGGGAAGGTGGGCGAGGAGGGCACATCTATTACAACATATCCGCGTCGAAAAACGGTACCAGGTACATGTGTAACCAATTCCGACAAAAGACGGCCGCTGTCAAGAAACCCCGGTGGGAATCGTCTCCGAAGTCCAACTGTAGGACTCATCTCCGAAAACCCACCCGTGGTACTCATATCTGAAAACCCACTCTCGTCGAACTTATCCCTGACAAACGGACCACACATTCTCTCCAAAGCCACGACAAAAGAGAAAACGAAATGGTGCCCGTTGAAGCGGCCGACGCCGGTGCGGTGTGCGACTTGCCAGCTTGGGGCATCGTCCTTGACGGCCGCCAGGACAACCCCCGAAACACACACGCGTCCGAGCTACGCGTGCGCACAGCCCGCCACGTCGATCGAGCTTTCCTCGTGATGTACACTCGTCGCAAGGTTAAGCACACGCCCATGTGCGTTTCTCTACAGTGGCCACGGCCAAGGCCCAGGCGTCCGGCTACTTTCGGGACAACTTCTTCGTACGAAGACCACTGTAAAGATTTCGCACGAAACGCTCTTACACTACTATGCGAAGGTGAAAACACGACCAAGCTATGGCTTTTGGTTGCGTACTCTTGTCACTTTGTCGTCAATCCCCCCTGCACCTGCCCTCACATCCCCGTCACTGCAGCCTCAGGCCGATACCTGGATCGACCACCGAACCACGAGCGACACCCAACCGGGTACCCCATGGGAGCCGTAGCAGGCAGATGTTCGGGGAGTCGCAACGCCTCAATACACACAAAAATACTCGAAAACACGCACGCCATGTCTCTCGCACGTTTATTCTCAGACATCCGTCTCAGCAGTCTGCTGCTGTCCCATTTCTGTCAAGCGCGGCCAGCCTTGGTGTTGGCGGCGGCAACCATAATCTGGGACGCCCGGTCTTCGTCGTTCTCGAATCTTATCATGCGGCCGTGACCGGGCAGTATCCACCTGTTGGGTTGTGGCCCAGCACGGGCCATGCGGTGTGTTTGATTTCTCATCACTGATCTTGTCGTGGAGGACGGTCAAACATGCCGAGAACGGTGTCCATACACAAGGGCCAAAAAAATGAATGCCGCCAAGCCTGTAATGCAGGATGTTGACCGGGAGCTTCTCAAGGCCATAAATGTGGTATATTATGTCGAGACCATGAGGTCTCCAGTCAGTGTAGAGCCTGGGACAAAACCCGTTAACCGCGTCAATTCGTTATTCGTTCAATCCACCGTACCTTAGAAAAAGGAAGCGGGAAGAAAAAAAAAAGGAATCTCCATCGTTCACCCATCGAATATCCGTGGAGTGAATCACTCAAACTGTTGCGAGGCAGTGCGCGAGGAGCGATGCCAACAGGCAGGTGCCCGCATCGCAGAAACGACTACAGCCTTCGGTGAACGGGACGAAACGGCGCCCACCCGACGCAAGGATAGTGTGTTTACGGAGGATGGGGCAGAGACTCAGACCCTGGCGTTCTGGGGCACTTCGAAAAACAGAAGTCTACATGCGTACCTGAACTTGAGGTCGGGTCTGGCGAGAAGCTCAATGCTCTCGGACTGCATGGCAAGGTCGTACCCGTACCTGCGACCGCCGGTTCGGGGTAACAATCGTGCCGGGTTGAGAGAGAGAGGAGAGTGGATGCGAACGGACCACTTGAAGTCCCTAAGCAGTCGCAGCATCCTTGCCGTTGAAACACCCAGCAGTCTTCATTCTGACCGTCGTCACACGCTTTCCATCTCGGACTCCGGAGCCCAAACCTAAGCGCGCCAACGCGACCGTAGCTCTTGGGGCAATCGTAACCCTAACCCTAGCCAAAACTCTCGTACATGTTCGTGCTCTACTCTGGGTCCAAAGTACAGACAGCTTCTCGTGAACGCACGTTTAGCCGCTGCGTGAGAATTAGGAACAACGCGGATACCTCCCTCGCAGACAAAATATGGGTCAACCGCAGTCATGGGGAGTACAAACATGTCTGGGTGGATCGGCAGGGCTAAAACAAGCCACCAGACAGACACAAGCAAAACTTCGGCGTTAAGAACACCGATGGACCCTGAGGTATGATACGCGCGGCAGGATTGTGCTGACTTGAAGGTCACTTGTTCACGGAGCGCTTCACCTGGGGAAGCCAGTGAGAGCACCCGTACGACCCGACAGCGCCAGATGATCTCCCGTGAACGCGATGCCTTCGGCTTGTGCGGAACCCCCCCCCTCTGCGGCAGGGTGCGCGCTCTTGTTGTTGCCGTGGTAAAGAAGCGTGACGCTCCCTCTTGAGTGTCCGGGCGTGTGAAGCGCCTGTGGCATGGAAAGCCGTGGGTCGGATTCATGATCCCGCCGCGGTGACGGATTCACTAACGCGCTTAGAATCCGTGTTTTTACCGATGCAGAGGTCTCTCTACCGATCCCTCGTCTCCTCTCCTACGTACGCTCCCCCCGAATGTTTGGCGTCTCTCGCCCTTGACAAAAGTGGAGGAAATCCTCCCTTTGCCGGGACCAACCTCAACCACGGCTAGTTCATCGCGAAAAAGCGAGAGGGCGCCTTGGGGTGGTTTGAACTACCGCGCGAATGGATGTGACTCCAGCGTTGGCACGAAAAAATCAATAACTATTCAGAAATAGATCAACGCAGGTTCATCCCACGCCAAAAACGCCTTGTACCCATTCTCTCCGCCGTAGACGAGCGGCCAGCCCAACACGACCACCAAGAGAGAAACAAACCGTCCAAATGACGAAAGGACCACACGAGAGCAGCAGCTCACCCTCAAACCATCTCCCAGTTGCCAGTAGTCACGAGACCCAATCTGGCCGTCAGCGGAGTCGCTGTCGAGCTTGATCTGTTGTTTGCGAGCGGAAAAAACGACAATCGGGAGGTAGGGGGGAGTGTGGAACCTTGATCGTTCGCCTTGAGGTGCACACGAGACGAAGAAACATTGTCCGTGCGCGATGACGAGCCTCCGTGCGCGATGACGAGTCCGGGAGTGAGCACGATAGCAGTTGGGGCACGGCGCTCACGCTCGGATCGAATCGGTTGGGAATCCACAACGCGCACTCGACCAAGATCTCCCTGACGTGGACCAGGGCGAGATCCATCACGCAAAGATCTTGCTTGACAGCAAAGCATTGACTTCAGCTGGACCAAACGATGCGGACGTTTATTTGCCGACTGCGTCGCGCACTACTGAGCGCTGTGGGCAGCTAGCTCCCTGGCTTCGACAAACTCACGAGAAACCCGGCCCTCGACCTTGTGCCTGCGGCCGTGTCCGTCAAATGACTGTGGAAATATCGCGCACAACACAACACGGAACAACGAACGGGCAACTGGATTTCGTACTCGAAATTGCTGTGACCACAACGTGCCTCGATGTTGCGCGTGTCTCCGTATCGCTGGACGTCGGCCTTGTGCATTACCCTTTTCATGTTCGGAAACCTCTCTTTCCACCTGCTTGGGTGCCGGCGTCCGATTGAGGTACAACCACGAGAATTCCCGAGTCAAGGAGAGAGCCGCAGGAACAAGCGTTCGGCAGCGGGAACAAGCAAGTGCAGACGCTGTTACGGCCTTCAAGCGATGATGCTGTTCTTGTAAAATCAAAAACGTTCCACGAGGAAGACACGAACAATTACACGATGGGGCATGGTGCACCTCGCTGCGCCAAGACTAGCAACGAATAAACCGGCGAGAGGCCTGACTACAAGTCCACACCTCGGTGCAATGAAAAAAAAGTGCAGACGGCAATTTAGACACACAACCGTGGCCGTAGCCCATCCAACCAGAAAGAGAGGACAGGATGCCGCAGCCAAGGGCGGAATCGTCCAGAGAGAGACAAAGAAACGTTCCCGAGTTAATCGACTCTGGGCACGGTTTGTGCAGGGGTACACGACGCCTGGGAGCGCACTGCGCGTTCAAATCGGGTCAACAAACGCATGCCACGGTGCCCCCCGCACTGCTTAACGCGTGGCACTTCAGCGGTGAGAGCAACACACAGCCAAGCCCTAGGTGTGTTGTTCCTTGCCTTTGGTGATCGCCCACGTCGTCAATGTGGCTCAGGACCATCAGGGATACACCCCCTTTGGCGTCCAGCTCCTTGGCCAGACCAGGATGAAACCTTGGGCTGTCCATCATCATGTTGCCCTCCGGGCGTTGCTGGTTGATTGGCGCGGATTTAGTTTCAAGAGTTGGACCAAGGACAGAAAAAAAAAAAACGCTTCATCTCCCTTATTGACGCTTGGATATTTCACCTAGCTGCTGTAAAACGTTGCGCTGCATGTTGTACAAGATTAGGCCTATATCAGACAAAGAATACTACAAAAGAGAGCTTTTGGATGTCGAACAGGATCCTGGCTGAGGGAGCACTCTGAACGCGCTGCGGTTTTGTCTCTTGTCTCTACCCCTGAGCTCTAGGACTTCGTCTCATGCCACCCTTTTCTGGTAGCCCCTCGTCCTCAATGCTTGTGCGCGGAATTGCCGAGCGGCCTTGGGACGTCAGCAGCAGAAGCGGAGACAAAGCTTTTGAGAAAACCGCGTCCGATGTTAAAAGTTGGGTGGGCAATATTTAGGCGCTGGACCTCATCCACGCGGTTGAATGGAACGAAAAAAAACAACTCAGAAAGGGGGGCGAATCCATCAACAGGAACCCATCAGCAGACCCTCGCCGAGCGCTTCTTGTTGTGCGCTTGATTGTTGCGTGCAAGAAGCATCGAGGCGCGCCTGTCATCGCTGCTCCTGTTTCGTGTCCTCGATGAGGATGTCCAAACTCCTGTGACCTTGCTGAACTGATAAAACACCACGCTATCACGCTGCAATATTGCGTGTGGCGCCAGGCTGAGCGCCAGGGTCAAGCGCCGCTATCACGTCGAATCTCGAATCAAGCTCTCACCACAAGCCAGGGCGAGCACCCGAAGGAGCTCTCACCGTGGAAGCCCAAATGAAATACGCCTGGGAAGGGGACAGGCAAAGGTACAGACGGCGAAAGGAGGGGAGAGGAACCGACGCCCAGAGCCGGATTGGGAACCACAAAAATGCCGAGGGAGGAGCGATGTGTTGCTATAATAGACGCGGATCGCACGTGTGTGCGCGTGTGTGCCAATCTCCCCACCAATGACGATGATAACATGGCAACACGGAAAGAGATGCGAGCAGCGCGGGCGGAGCACCTGTCGGCACATGCCCACACCTCGTTCGACGGAACAATCTCCAATGTGGGAACGGGGGTAAGAAGCACGCCGCCACTGGCCTGTCCCCAGCCCAGGCGGCACGCGACGTCCACCAACGACCGTGGTTTGACATTGTATGTCCACTACCCCGATCGTCCCTTTCCCACTGCACGAGAAGTAAACGAAGACACCACGTCACGACTCAACGTCCTTTGGGAGAAACCAGAACCGCGACTTGGGATCTCGTGACGTTCAGGGGGCCGTACGACCCACCGGGATGTATGAGTTGCTGCAGAAGCAGCAAAAAAATCCCCAAAACATCCCGTGCTCGTGCAAAGTGTGCGAGGAGCAACCGTGCGCACGAAATAACTTGTTTTTTCGTGTCAATACCTGGGAGACGCTCGGAGTCGACGGGAAAAGGGAAATCCTTTAGGGCATCCCTCGCAATCGGGTCCGAAGCTTCCACTCTGATGGACGAAGTCGGACATGCGTGCATCGCTCTGTACGCGCCCCGCCTCTCCTCCTGGGGAAGAGTGGGCCCACGGAACGAACGGCGCGGATATCAACTCAGCGATAGAGATGGATGATTCCGCACAACGATGCTATTCGCAACTAGGTCTCGACCCCACACTGAGACTGGCCCAAGCGAGTCTTCCGCTCGCGAAGCCGGCGGAAGAAACACCGTGTATCAGCGGTGGTCGTCCGACGAATGGAAAGGAAAAGCGCGGCGGGCGAGCGGGCCCAAAACAATGAACAGAATGGCACCGCCAGCGCTGTTGGTTGCAGTAAAACGCTCCGTCTTTGCGTGTCCTCTGGGACACCCACCTCTGTCTCAGGCTGCCGGACAACGGCGGACTTGCCGCTCTTGTGGGCGAAGGTCTCGCCCTGCATCCACCGGCACGTGTCGCAGTCGATGCACGACTCGTCCACGAACAAGTTCCTGCGACGACGAGGTCGAAACTCTTGTCAGACGCGTCGGTTGTTTGTGACCTATGTACCACTTCATGCGCAAAAACAATCCACAAACGACGAAGTGGACTTCGAAGTTTACAAGAACCGAGAAGACGGCGACATCGACAGATTGAGGTTCTGTTCGCATGCCAGCGACAGATGTCGCAGGAGCAAGTGCGCGGCGGAGCCAGGCTTGAGGGACGTGTGCCTCGAATATCACACGAAACAACTCAGGACGACCCCTGTGGGGTCCCTTGACGGCAAAACTAAATACTTTAGACAGAGGGAGAGAAAGTGGAGGACCGCACAGCGTACAGGAAAAGAAAGAACGGGACGCACTCGAAGCAGAGTAGCGACAGAACGAAACTCTAAAAATACTGCATACGCCAGCACTCCAGCAGGCTCCCAAGTGTTCCTCGCAGCGGAAAAGGAGGCACAATACGTAGGTTGTAGGTGGCACGTGGGAGGTCACCCACCCGGCCACGTTCTCTGCCCTCCGGGCCTTGGTCAAGCTACCGGCCACCATGGTCGGTGATGATGACACCCGGCGCGCTGGGCCAAGCGCCGCCGCTCCACGGACGTCTCGCAAGCGTCTCCCCGGACCGCCTGAACGGTCGTGTGTTTCGGTAAGGATGGCAACGAAGCGCAAAAGAACCCGCGAAAATGACGGCGATGTGAAGGGTGCTCTGTTGAATCTGTCAGAGAAAGCAGGCAATACCATTGTCGCCTGCTGTTGATGCCGCAAGCCGGTATCGCTGGCCTACGGGTGCTCTTGGAAATCAGGGCGGCAGGCCTATAGAAGCCGAAATCAAACCACTAGACTAGTCAGCGCTGACTAGTCTAATGGTTTGATTTCGGCTTCTTTAGGCTGCACGAAAATTAAGGCCTGGCAAACGCCCCCCTCCGCCTGTGAAACTGATGATTCCCCGCCTGTGAGGTTCGAGGGTGGATTGGTCGAGGTAGGGTTGGCTCTTGTGGCATGGATCTGTAAAGCTGCTACCTACATGGGGGTTGGTTGTGCGGCCTCTCCTGTGGCCTTGTATGCTTCGGTACTGCTGTAGAGTTGACACCCTATGTAGAGGATTTAGAACGAAAACGCTGCGGGCGAACCTCGAGCGGTACGCAAATATATTAGCAAAATAAATACACACACAGAAAGACTAACCGTTCGAGATATACCCACAGAGTCGAACGGGATGGAGTCTTTTCGTTGAGGTAACACTGGCTGGGTAAATATATCAAAACGCACGCCAACCCGCCACGTACAGACAGCTGTCGGTTCAGAGGTGTGTTTATCTATTTTCCACCGCCCTCCGCACATGACCTTTGACCACACTTGTTGTTACGGGAGCGACGAGCGCGCACATCTTTTCGAGGCTGTTGTGCATCTTTTCTAGAATGTCTGTAGATGTCCCCATGTACAATTGTAGTAAGGCCACTTGTTAAGCTGTTCTTTTTTGGGCTGTCCCTTTTCTCAAAAAGGGACGAACCAAAAAATAATCTAGCAAAAAGATGACCCACTTGTTACGGTGCTGGTCGATCCTTTTTGCTCATCCGCCAAAAAAAATGACCCTGCAACAAGAGCAACGGCCGTTCGTCACACAATAAGTACCTTGGCACCGAGTTGGTTTTTCGGTGATATCTCCGCACAGAGCGAAGCATCAGCAACTGTAAAGCTATCCCCCGCGAGCTGGGTGCTTGGTCCGCCTTGTGTGGCGGCTGATCGAGACCACAGGGCAATGGGAGGCACGGCAACTGAGGTGGCGAGAGTCAACAGCACCTTGAAAAAACCCCACCGCGCCAACAACCAGCGTTTTTTTCTCTTTTTTGCCCATGCCGCAACTTTGGTTCATGGATGCTCCCTCGCCACACACTGAAACAACAGCAATGACAAAGGTATTCGCCACGAGCTATGTGTATGGTCCGTCTTGTGTGGTGGTTGATACAGACCAGGAGGCTGACGGGCGGTCAGAGGTTGTGAGCGCGAGAGTGGTGGACAAGCGGGAAAAATGACCCGCCGCGTCTCCAAGCATATTTTTTGTTCTTTTTCCCGTGTTGCAACTTTGGTTCATCGATGCTCCCTCGTCACACACCGAAGCAACAGCGATGACAAAGGTATCCGCCATGAGCTGTGCGTCTGATTCGTCTTGTGTGGTGATTGATATAGACCAGGACACTATAGGTCGCCCAGAAGTTGGGTTCGCAAAAGTTGACTGTGCACCAAATAGACCCACCGCTGCTGCGTCCAGGCTCTTTCGGCTCGTTTGCCGCTTGTTTGCCGCACACATCGGGTTGTCCACCTGGTCAGCCGAATGACAACATTACGTCTATCGCCGAGGCTACTGACTCCGCACCAGTCACATGACACGACTCGTGCGAATACCGTTAGAGTTTGCGGGGATCATCCGTCGAGATATTCAAGTTTGTGGGCAAGTGTCATGTGTTGTGACAGAAAAAAAAAGGACAACAAAAAAGGACCGTCCCATCCTGTCACAAAGTTGCCCAAAAAGGGACAGGATGGGGTGATCTTTTTTCGCTGTCCCTTTTCGGGAGGTTCAAAAATGCAAAAAAATACCACGTAACAAGTGGTTCTTGGTCAAAAAAGGGACAGCCCAAAAAAGGACAGCTTAAGGGCGCGGGGGGGATCGCAGTAGTTCCTCTTCAAAAAAACAGGAAACGCCTGGAAACGCCTGCATATCTCGGTTTTCCAAAGTCTAACTCCAGTACGAAACTACCATCGTAAATTAACCGCCCGCAGCGGTCGCTTGTGTACAATGTTAGTAGCTGAGGTTGAACCCCTTGCGATACACTACAGACTAGCGGTCCGCGATTTTCCAAACGATCCTTCTGTCATCGAGTTCGGTGAGCTACAAGCTAGATTTTTGAAGCTGCTGTGCGGTCCAATTTTGAAACGCTTCAAGCACACGGTGAACACGAATCACCGCCTATGTGAGTGTATGGGGCCGCGAACTTCAGCGCAGCTCTTCCCTCACATATCCAGCTGGTCGCCATTGTCGATTTGAATGCCTAGGGTCATGTATATGCATGTCCAGCCTTTAGGCAAAGGTGCTTGAAGCGTTTCAAAATTGGACCGCACAGCAGCTTCAAAAATCTAGCTTGTAGCTCACCGAACTCGATGATAGAAGGATCATTTGGAAAATCGCGGACCGCTAGTCTGTAGTGTATCGCAAGGGGTACAACCTCAGCTACTAACATTGTACACAAGCGACCGCTGCGGGCGGTTAATTTACGATGGTAGCTTCGTACTGGAGTTAGACTTTGGAAAACCGAGATATGCAGGCGTTTCCTGGATTTTTCAGAGGAGGTACTGCGATCCCCCCCGCGCCCTTAACAAGTGGCCTAAAGGCCAAGTTCAACTTCACCTTGGGCTCCATGATCGATGTGTTGACCAATGCAGGGCATAATATCCGCGATAACAAGGGTAGATTAACGGAGAATTCGCCGTGCATAACCGTAATTGAAACGGGGGTTACCGTCTCTAACAAGCAAATCAACCCTTGTGTTGTGAAAGTTCGGTCGCACATTACATGTACATCTCTGCCAAGTAGCAGCTGCACTTTTACTGCCACACCTGCCACCTTGATTGTAGCTCCGCCGTTGATCCAGCACAGACCCTTCGGCGGGCCATGTGATATTGCTCCAACTCCTGTTCTGGGCCCAAGGACCAGCAAGAGGAGGAGGGCGCCGTGCATGGCCTGGGTGCCCAAGGAGCACGCTGGCCGCGATCGCGACATCGTCTGTGCTGCTGCGCTGGGTCAAAATTGATGAAGTCAGCGCGGCAGCGCGGTGAGTTGTGCGGGACGTTTTTTTGAAAAATCTTGGAGGGAGGGAGCTCTTGTGCAAAGCCACTACGCGATGCTAACTTCGGCAATTGGTGAGTATCTCTATAACCTTGTCTCTGTTTATGCAGCTCGGGATCAATACGCCACGGGGGGTGCAGATGCAGCAGGTGCACCGAGCAGCGTGTGATTATATAATGTTATGGTGCTGACCTCGGGAGGCCCCATGGATGTATCCTGAAATAAAAGAGTGTGGTGCGCCTGGTGTGGGTACGAGCTGCGTTGCCCCGCCAAAACGGACCAAAAAAGAGCGGACGGCGGACGGCAGAGACAGGAGAGCAGCAGCGCAGAGAGAAGGCGGACGACGAAAGGAGGAGCGTCTTCACGTTTTTCTCCGTGGGTCATCGAGCAATGGGTGCAGTCCGCGGCGAGAGTTGCGTCGCCGGCCTCCGCCGGCGGGCGCGGTACGCCAATGTTCTTGCTGCCTCTTCTCTGTTCTTCCTCCCGTACGTGCCGATGGCGACGGCGGGAATCTTTCCCTACGACAACCTGGAGCTCGAGGTGAGCAGAGAGTGAGAGAGAACGCGTGGAATTGGTCGTCTGGCTCTAGGGCACACGAAGGGCGTGACGCGGCAGTTCGCTCTTTCTGCTTTACAGATGCCATCAGCAGCAGCAGCAGCAGCAGCAGCAGCAGCAGTAGCACGACATTTCCGCATTTCATCACGTTCCGACAACACCCGCATGACGCACAGCTAGAAGATGGAGAGTCGAGGCTGTACACGCCAACCGCCGTTCGTGGTGGTGCTGGTATATCCCACGTGCGTGTGCGTGTGTGTTATTTCTCCGCGAGCACGCCACTTCTCTTACGGGTGGTTGTCATGTACCATGCTTGAGCAAGCATTCAGTTCCTTGTTTTACAGCAATGTACAACAGCAGTCAAACACCGAGACGCTACGATCGACCACTGGTGTATGTATGATCGCGAACGTCGTCCGTGTTTGGCTTTCCTGCTCCATGAACATTGGACCACATGTATCGGGCAGGAGGCTCTCTGCCCAATTTGTGTGCAGCTGTGTGCATACATAGATTCCAGCCTCGGTAAGCATTGTTCCGGTGCAATCGGCCCTCGCATTGCGGATGAATTTTTTTCTTGTCTGCAACAACGCACGGGTAGCGTGCTTCGACCCAATCGCATGCAAGGCTACCGGAGCCGCGCAGAACTTATGTGACGCTCGTAAGTGTGCCGAGCAACCCCCGGGGGTAGAAGAGGAGCCTGGTGAAAAAAAACGCTTTTGCAACTTGGAAACCCGGTTAAAGCCACGAGCAAGCGTAGTGGTTCGCCGTTCATGGTATGTGCAACACTACAAGTGGACACTATCGGAAACTCCCCCTTCCCTATTTCTTCGTATTTTCCCCTGAGTGTGGAGTGTTCCGTTTTCCTGTCCCTTAAATGCTGGCTCTCGTACGGCGCGCTGCGTGGGTGCTCTTGTGATCCCGCTGCCTCTCGCTCGATGCAGTATCCTCACCTGATCTACCGAGAATCGGGGATGTTTGCCCCCGGAAAGGGTTTCCTGGAGATCGGAGCCGGAGGGGGGGACGGGGAGAGCTTCATCCGCTTGAGCGAACTCCAGTTCGAAGCGGTGAGTTTTTTTTTTCTTTTTTGCATGTTTGTTTTTGTTTCGTTCGGGTGTGAGGTGTGGGTAAGAAATCGCAAGTGACGGGTGAAGACGACGACCTTGTTCTTCCAGCACGGACGGCCGGTTTGTGCTGGAAGAACAGAATCAAATCAAGGAGGTTTTTACCACACCGCGTCCTAGACAAAGGGTGCGCCCACCTACCTCACCCGATGTTGATAATTTTGTCAAGGCTAGTGTAAGATGGTTTGTTCGTGGTTGAGGGTTGCTTGGTGTCCATTCCTCTCTCTCCCACACGCGGCGGCCGCCGCGACGGGCGACCGGCGGCCAGGGGCGAATCTCTCGTCGCCCGCGGCTTGTGGTTTCCTTCTTTCGGTCGGGGTATTGGCGTTGTCTATCTAGTCAGGTAAGGGCAAGGTGACTGCCACCGGCTCTGCTGTCCACCCGGGTCCCCCACCTCCTACTTTGACGGTGTCGGTGGGTAGTGCGGCGGAAGGACAGGAGGCCCTAACGAATCGAGGCTCGACACGGACGGTTTCCGCACCACAACCAGACTTGGTCGGTTAGATTTCCCGGAACTCCCCCAAAAGGCTTTGCTTGAGTTTGTTTTTCCTGTGCGGTTGGTTTTAATTCCAATCCCCTCCACAAGCATTGTGTTGACTGTGAAATCGTGAACACGTTGATTCGTTCCTTTGTTGTTGCACGTGAAGTTGTTTCTAGGTTTTTCGAGCGATGCTTTAGCTGCTCAATACATGTTAAGATGGCTGTTTGGTGGGACGATGTTTCGACGTTCTGTGTCTTGCGAGGTGAATAAATACATATCCTCTTTGTTAATCCTCGTTCCTCGTTGCGCGGCAAAAATGCCATTGCTCGTGTATTTGGTGCTTAGAGTCAAGCTTTGGGCCATTGGTTGCTACTTTATTACGCTGCTGTACACGTTGAGCTGCCGGTTTTGTTTGATGAAGCTTTTTTTCGATGTGTGTTTTTGCACGGTGAAGCATTTCTCCTCCTTTCGTCTCCCTTTGGGTTCTCTTCCGCAACTAATAATAAATGCCTCAGGATGGCACCGGTCTATGTTCGCCAGCGGAACAAGAGATCAACTGCCCGAAAGAGGTCGGGCACGTCGAGCTCGCTATTTTCGAGCAGAAAAGGTGAAATCAACTCGACTGCAATGCAACAACTGAGAAGGTCTTCTCTTTTCTTTTTTTTTTTGTTCCTTCGTGCTTTGATGAACTTGGGGCGGGTTGTGCTGAGTGTATTTAGTTGGTTACTTCAGGTAAGACGAATGCCAGGGTTTCAAAACTTGGGCAGTACAAGAGAAGTTTCGGGGGAAACAGGCGAATGGAATGCAAGCCTAGAGATTTCTCGAAGACAAAGAAATAAATGGAGGGTAGGTGCCATATATAAGACACCGATCATTGGCTTCTCCAGTGTCCCAGTTGACCGCAAAGCACCCAACGGCTGAAATTCACCACGGCCACCCCTCCCGCCAACGTGGATGCGTCCCATCCCCAACCTGTTCACCGTCGTCCTCGTCGTTCAGCTTCGGGCACGTCGGCGTATCGGTGGACGACATCAAGTACTACTGCTGCGACAACACCGCCCAGGCGGTAGGGGCGTGTCACCCGGACCAGGCCGACTCTCTGCTGCTCCCAGGTACAAGTTGGGGCGGGCGTTTTACAACTCCGTATTCGACGTGGCTTTTTGGCAAGTCTGAAAGGCCGACGCTCGCGGTAGTTAGTGGGAGGACGGAGCCCCCACAGGGGGCCCGGTCATGACGACGGGTTCAACCGCAGTGGAGGAAATTTTAGGTTGGTTAGTTCGCCGCCACTATTTGGCGGCAACCGACGCATGTGGCATATCGAGGAGGCCCTCCTTACAGCTGCTCGTCGGGCTGGCCAGTACTTTTGGGAACTACTGCAACGCGCCTGCTTGCGTACCTGCTGGCGCCACCCGAGTGTGCTGCGCTTGTGCTGACCAGCTCCGCGTCCCCTGTTGTGTTTGGCGCCCCCCGAGTGTTGCCGTTTGTTCGGCCTCGATCTGGTGGCCTTGTTGTTGCCGATGGTGCTGCTGTTGTTGCTGGCATCATCGTTAAAAACGTCTTTGTTGTTTTTGATGTATTTTCCTCGTGATGCATGTTTACCGCCCTGACCACTGCTGTCGCCTTTGCGCAGACCCGGCGGAAATCTGGTGGCACGAAAAGCTGTCCATCATCCCGGGCATCCCTGCGAGACTGGAACACAGCGATCTCTACAGGGTGAGCAAATAATATGAAAAAATAGGAGGGAGGAGGGCTGTCTGGGGCATTTGAGAATGGAAGACAGAGCGGCGAATTTTTGTGTAAGGCAAGCAGAGGCCCATTCCGGTGCCATAAACGCAGGTCTGCCGGAAGATGACACACCCCCTGTGGACCGATTTTCTGTATAGTTGATTTCTCCACAGCAGAAAGAGTGACGGTGCCGAAAATGGCGGGCGGTGGAGCTGTCTCGTCGAGAGCTTTCCGAAAACGTATCCTCGTGTCATTTATGCATTCTCTTGCAATATTCGTGGAGGAATCGAGCGTTGAGAATCGGCCCAGGGGGTGTGGTATCTTGTGTCGCATCGGTCCGTTTCGTCGGCGGCGGAGGGCCGGCCTTACCTATAGGGCTGACTAACGTCAGCAGTGGTTACTTTCAGCGGTTGTAGCCTTCTTATTTGTTTCGTTTGTTCGTAACAGTGTTCACGTTCAGCGGTTGTAGCCTTGGCGTTTCATTCGTTCGGCTGCGGGCGTCCCGCTTGAGGATGTTGGGACTCTCGGCGATGGCGACGCGCGCTAAGCGGCAGGGGTGTGGTTGCGCCAGGGTCATGACGATTTCGAGCGTGTGTGTGCGTGTGCGTGTGCGTGTGCGTGTGCGGTCACTTCTAGCTTGCAACGCCCCGCGTTCACCACCTGACTGTTGAAAATGCTGGGAGATGTTGTACCCCCCACACGCTCTTTGGATCCACGGGGTTCTTTGTTGTGTGTGTTTGTGTGTTTGGGTTCTACGCCGCAGCAAGGTGACCAAGCTTTCTAATCCGCGGGCTCTACGTCTACGTTTCTTCAATAATTACGATCGACCGCACTTGTACATGTGCAGCTGATGAATGCAAAAAAAAAAACGATCGTCTGACGCAACACTGAAGTACCCAGCGTGTGCTTTGGGCGGGGGGGTTGGAGATGCGACCATTCCTTGTCGCGTCCCCCCCATGATCGAAAAACCTTGGGTGTGTCCCACCACTGTCTTGTGAGAAGATTGGGTCAGGGAGAGGTACACCCCAGCCATTGGTCCTGGTCTCTGGCACATCTAACGGCGAGAGCCCGTGCATTCTTGCTGCTAGAGTGCATTTGGTTTGATTTCGATCTTGTTTTCGCTGTTACTGCTGCTGCTGATGCTGATGCTGTTGTGTTGTTGTTTATCCGAAAGGTGCCTGAGACTGGTATGTACGTAGTCCTGGTGGCCAACTGCAACCAGAGGACGGGATCGATCTTCATCAACGGCCACAGCGAGTGGAAGAATCCTTACGGTAGGCGCTCACCAACACCTACCGTCGGTCGATTTTTTGTTTCCTTGCTTCCGTTGGACCAAGACAGCAACAACAGAAAAACGTTCTTTCAGCAGTACTTCTTTGGTCGACCGGTGATGTCTTCCTTGCCCGCACAGCTATTTTGGCATCGTGTATGATTGGCGTCCCCTCTTTCCTCCTTGAGGTTGTCCCCTGTGGATGCTGGAAACCCCGTGGTGGGTGTGGGATCTTAGTCAGACCGTGTCTTGCTCCTAAGGCTTACATAATTTGCAGGACTAGTACTGTACTTCTAAGGTAGCGACGTCGGTCGTCAAAAGGTCACACTGCATCTTCCCGAGCATTCGTCCAATGTTTTTGTTGCTGACTGGTGTATAGTAGCTTGTGCCAACTGCTTGGCTGGCCCTTTGTTGATGCCCACATAGAATTGAATCACGGTACCACATCTAGTGCTTGGGTTTCGGTTGTGCGGTTGTGAGAGACTTTGTAGAAGTGCCAAGGAACTCGGTCTCTTGCCGCTAGTAAGGTGGAACCGGGCACTGAAGAGGGAGTGTCCGTGGGGAGAGCCCAGAAACGGGATTCCGCATATGAAGATAACGATGGTAGCAACAAAGCCAACAACCAGCAGAAGCAGCAGCGGCAGAAACGATTGGCCTTCACGGAGTGGCTCGTGCACCCACGCGGCGGATCCATCCCCTTTGGCTCCCTGCTTCACCGGCATGCTTTTCCCCTCGTCTCCCCTCATCTACTACACCATTGCCCCTAACTCTCGCTTTTTTCCATTTTTTATTTTTTATTGTCCGTTGTTTTTTGTGGTCAAAGGGTACCTTCCCGGCACGTCTTACGGCGACCTCCCATTCTTCTTCTGTCTGGCGATCGTTTATCTGTCCCTCGGCGTCATCTGGATGATCGTCTGCATGGTGAACATCAAGGTGCGTCCGTCCACCCGTCCTTCAGGGTTCGGACAACGCTATAGAGAGAGCGGCATGCTTCTCTATCGATTAATAGCAGAGATCATGCTGGTTGTCTAGGAACTGCAGAGTAGGGTAGATGGCACGTTTTGTGCTGTCTCTTCTCGTCATCCTTGCGTAGTCATCCCCGCTGCTGTTGTTTGTCTTCCTTGGAGGAGGAGTTCTCGCCATGCTCAACCCCAAGCTAGGGTGCGTGCTGTGCTGAGCATGCTCTAGGATACCGCGTCCCGTCCCGGTACAGTATTCCGTTCCATGTTCCCGGATGCAACGTCCCCGTCCGTCCATGTTTTCCTTGTAAGTCCCCACTTTCGGCTGCTTGGTTTCCCATGCACAGGATCTGCTGGCGGTACAACTCTGGGCCTCGCTGGTGCTGTTCCTTGGCATGGTGGAGACAGGGGCTCAGTACTTCGACTACAGGTACGGCGGGTTGTACACGGCAATGCTTGCGCCCCCCAACCTGGTGGGTTGTCCCCCATAGAAATTCCCTCGGGAAGAAGCAGCCTGCTTGCTTGTTTGGCCCCAAGAGGGTGAGTTGCGTCAGAGGGGGGGGGGGGCACTATAATCTGTACCGAGGAAGACCAGCGACACCCCGTTGCCAGAGGCGTGGCCATGCCTCGTAGCCGGTAGCAGACGCTTCTCAGCAGTGGCGGAGCTGAAAACCGGGCCGCCTCGCAAAGTCTTGGCCATCTCTTCGAGTAATAGCTATCTGGGGATCATTTCAACAGGACCTGCCTCATTATCGAGCGTTGCCGCCCGGCCGGTACGGCAATCGTTTTGTGTTCTGTTCC